AAGATTTCGCATTCTGGCCCCTCGTGACCCCTAATTACGTAACATATGACCAAAATAGTGTAATATATTGTTGCAAATCGTTAATATGAACAACTTTTCTTCCGTAATGTATCACAAAATATTGATCATTAAAGAGTTAAAGATGAAAGACTTCTGGCCCTTCTGAGCCCCTAATTTGAGGAGTCAGCCCCTTTTTCTTGATATCAAACGAAAGGTCTTGTGATTTCAAAGACTTTTTGTTCTACAACTATTCAGAGATTTCTGTTTGTTTAGAAGATATACTTAATATAAATATTTAGGGGCCACCCCTACAAGCACTTAATGGGGCCATTTTACAAAAATTCAAAGTTTGCATATTGTTTAAACTATTATTCTGACCAACATTTGTTCAATATTGCTTATCAAAATATTCGCTCTTTTCAAAATATGAAGTGTCAAAGATTTAGCATTCTGGCCCCTTGTGACCCCTCATTACGTAAGATATACTTAAAAGTTGAAAATATGTTTTTGCAAATAGTCTAAAATTAATAAAAATCGAAAAATCGAGCAGAAAAAGTGATAAAATTTTTTGGTCACAAGCGGGATCGAACCCGGGTCGCCCGCGTGACAATCCAACGCGCTAACCATTCGGCCATCGGGATCGCCGCTTCGCGTTTTCAAATGCTAATATCTCGAGATTGGCTTGTTCGATTTTCAAACAAATTACATATTTGGATTCAGAAAAGGGGTCTTTATTCAATTCTAATATCAAAATATTAAAAAAGAAAACTTGAAAAATTGCGTTTTTTGAATTCGCTTCCGGTTTCGACCGGAAGTATTGACAACGCACGAAAAGGCGATTCTGCAACGCTATAAATCATGAACTATCATCTCCAATTAATCTTAGCTTCATATCTTAAGCAGTTTTCGCTAAGTAATCAAGACAAAATTGCATTTTAAAATCAGAAAATTGTCCATATCTCACGACCGGAAGTGATGTCATCAACGAAAAAAATTTCCAATAAGGTTCAGATCAGTACCTATCAGATGTTAAAGTTTCATGAGAATCGGTCCAGTAGTTTACGAGAAATCGCGTGCACAAAATCGGTAAGAAAAATAATAATAACTAGATGAGATCTCGTTGCGAGCAACGAGTAGGTCTTCCGTTGAATTTCTAGATAAGATGAGATGTGATTTTGACTGAGATATTTGTTTAAAGAGAATGACATTGAGTTTTCCCTAGTTAAAGTTAAAGTTTCTCATTTTTATCACGATATTCTGAACATCTTTTGTTTGATAAGGCTTATGAAATACTCCCCCTTTTCGAGACATAAAGCATAAAAAATATAGCATTTTGGTCCCTTGCGACCCCTAATTACGTAACATATGATAAAAATATATTATTATATATTGTTGCAAATCGTTAAGATGAATACTTTGGCCTCAGTAATGTATAACAAAATTATTGATCATTAGAGAGTTATAGATAAAAGACTTTTGGCCCCTCTGAGCCCCTAATTTGAGGGGTCAGCCCCTTTTTCTTGATATTAAATGAAAGGTCTTGTGATTTTGAAGATTTTTTGTTCAACAATTATTCAGAGATTCTTTTTTTGTGGAGATATGTTAAGTGGAATTATTTAGGGGCCACTCCTACAAGTCCTTAATGGGGCCGTTTTACAAAAATACAAAGTATGCATATTGTTTAGAACATTATTCTGACCATCTTTTGTTCAATATTGCTTATCAAAATATTCCCCCTTTTTGAGATATAAAGCGTCAAAGATGTGACATTCTGGCCCCTTGTGACCCCTAATTACGTAATATATTATTAAAATATCATCATATATTGTTGCAAATCGTTAAGATAAACACTTTTCCTTCAGTAATGTATAACAAAATATTGATCGTTAGAGAGTTATAGATAAAAGACTTTTGGCCCCTCTGAGCCCCTAATTTGAGGGGTCAGCCCCTTTTTCTTGATATTAAATGAAAGGTCTTGTGATTTTGAAGATTTTTTGTTCAACAATTATTCAGAAATTTCTTTTTGTTGTGGAGATATGTTAAGTGGAATTATTTAGGGGCCACTCCTACAAGTCCTTAATGGGGCCGTTTTACAAAAATTCAAAGTATGAATATTGTTTAGAACATTATTCTGACCATCTTTTGTTCAATATTGCTTATCAAAATATTCCCCCTTTTTGAGATATAAAGCGTCAAAGATGTGACATTCTGGCCCCTTGTGACCCCTAATTACGTAATATATTATTAAAATATCATCATATATTGTTGCAAATCGTTAAGATAAACACTTTTCCTTCAGTAATGTATAACAAAATATTGATCTTTAGAGAGTTATAGATAAAAGACTTTTGGCCCCTCTGAGCCCCTACTTTGAGGGGTCAGCCCCATTTTCTTGATATCAAATGAAAGGTCTTGTGATTTTGAAGATTTTTTGTTCAACACTTATTCAGAGATTTCTATTCGTTGTGGAGATATGCTCAATGAAAATATTGAGGGGCCACTCCTACAAGTCCTTAATGGGGCCGTTTTACAAAAATTCAAAGTATGCATATTGTTTAGAACATTATTCTGACCATCTTTTGTTCAATATTGCTTATCAAAATATTCCCCCTTTTTGAGATATAAAGCGTCAAAGATGTGATATTCTGGCCCCTTGTGACCCCTTATTACGCAAGATATGCTTAAAAGTTTATAAAATATTGTTCCAATTGGTTTAAAATTTAAAAATATCGAAATATCGAGCAGAAAAAATGATAAAATTTTTTGGTCACATGGGGGATCGAACCCGTGTCGCCCGCGTGACAATCCAACGCGCTAACCATTTAGCCATTGAGATCGCCGCTTCGCGTTTTCAAATGCATATATCTCGAGATTGGCTTTTTCGATTTTCAAACAAATTACATATTTCGCTTCTGCAAAAGGGTCTCTATTCAATTCTAAAACAAAAATATTAAAAAAGAAAAATTGAAAAATTACGTTTCTTAAATTCGTTTCCGGTATCGACCGGAAGTAATGACGACGCACGAAAAGGCGATTCTGCAACGCTATAAGTCATGAACTATCATCTCCAATTAATCTTCAGTTCATATCTTAAGCAGTTTTCGCTACTAAATCAAGACAAAATTGCATTTTAAAATAAGGAAATTGTCCATATCGCACGACCGGAAGTGACGGCGTCAACGAAAAAAATTTCCAATAAGGTTCAGATCAGTTCCAATCAGATGTGAAAGTTTCATGAAAATCGGCCCAGTAGTTTACGAGAAATCGCTTGCACAAAATCGGTAAGAAAAATAATAATAATAATAATAATAATAGGGAAAAAGAAACCGAAGAATAACAAGAAGGTCTTCCGTTGGAGACGGAAGACCTTAATAATAATAATAATAGGGAAAAAGAAACCGAAGAATAACAAGAAGGTCTTCCGTTGGAGACGGAAGACCTTAATAAGAAACAGAGTAAAAACAATATGTTCCCCAACTTCGTTTGGGGAACATAATTAATCCAATGCACACCAGCTGACTGCAGCATCATGTGCTAATGCTATTCCATTCGACAAACCTTCGTCGATTCCGTCACCTTATCAGATGAAGTGGGAATCGGCCGAGGTGTGCCGAATGGCGTTTAATCTAAAAATATGATAATGGGTGACGCAACGTGATGTGATGTAGAAATTTACATGTTAACATGTATAGTACAAGAACAAATTTAAATTAATTCAAAACAAACGATGTTTTAACAATACTTTTCCATCTAGCCTATTCCAAAAAGTATGTGCTGTGTGATTGTGGTGTCGAGGGGGGGAGGGGGGTAGTAAATTTAAAAAGGTCCTATTATGAGCAAAACATTTATCAAAATCTAATTTACATCATTAATAGAATTCAAACTGGTATATAATGAATTAAGCATGTAAAATGAATATAAGAGGTTCTGAGTTATAGGTCACAGGGTCTGAGAATTTCATACTCAATTTGATGAATACATGTAAATTATAGATTTTGACTTTTTCCTTGGAAAGCCGCCCAATATGTAGGAGCGTGTATTTAGAGGCAAACACCTTAGTGTGGGTATTACTGTCTCATGACAGCATCTAGTTGTTTTTTGCATTGGATTTTGGGAGTATATACACTGTTTAACAGCCCTGTGTGCGAAAAGGGGTTTTGATTAGCTGTGTGATGATCGGTGTTGAATTCTGCTTTGAATTAAAGATATGCTCTTTGCAAGGTGATATCGATGTTTTAACTCATTGCCCTCTTTGAACACATGTATGTAGATTTGTGTAATCCTACACTTTTCCCCTAAACAGCTGTTTAAAAACTTAAATCAATTTAAACCAGCTTTTTGCACCCAGTTTGAGAATTGGGTGATGGTCAAAATTAAAAGTCAGCTCAGTTTCATTTAAGTTGAAGCTACATTTACTGGAATGTACCTAAGCAAACAAAATAATTTAAAAAAAATTAAGCATATATTCTCTGCTTAAATCAATAGCAACGTGCTATTTAAAGAACCTGATTAGAATTTTTTCAAATGGATAAAATTTGAACCACACAAATACCTTTTGAAATTGATCATCAGTTGTTAGCTTAAATTTCGCGATCAAGCTTTTTCAATCCGTTGTTTATAGGCAAAGACACTTTAAGGATTGATTCGCGGCGAGAAATATTTACCAGACTCTCACGAACTTCGAAAAAAATTCTCGCACGCGAATAAAAGATGGTTTACAGTAAACATAATGATTGTAAATTTGACGGCTCTTTGAGATATTAAAACTTTGCTAACTATTACCAACCAAAATGAGATACTAGTATTGCTCTTTGTATATAGTTTAATGAGGCCCGATCTACTTGATCTGCGCATATCTTTTAACACAGCTTCGACTCAGGCACGTCACAATACCCTTGACTGCCGTCACAATTGAACACAATAACGTCACAATTAAAATGACGTCAAATTGCGCTAAAATGTTTCGCTGATCTTGCTTACCTGGTTGCTCTATATAACGTGCCAGTACCCATTATTGCCGAGTACCCATTATTGCCGAAACTAATAAAATCAATTAAAAATCCGCCAATTTGTTGTTCTTTTTAATTATGACGTAAAATACATAAATTACGTCATATTCTCAAGTCACCTACCGTTGAGTAGAAAGGAATAAAGGCGAAAGATAAAGAAAACTTACCGTAGATAAGGTAAGCCTTTGAAAACACATCCATTAGCATTCGTGCGACAGCACATGTCATGAAAATTTAGACTAAATATCCCATTTGATGACAGGTCAAGCTCGGTTCAAGTTTAAATCCTTTACATATTTCCCTTCTTGAAATGATACGATATAAAAATATTAAAGTAATTGCTTCCAATTAAAGTAATTAACAGAATTATTCACAAAGAGTACGAAGCGTCTGCTTGCTGTGCGACGCCATATTTTCTTTTACCGGAAGTGGATCAAAGATCCACCCCATCTCGCACCTGTCTTCAAAAAAAGGGGCATTACTCTTACATTTCTTCGGCAGCAGTTGTTCCTCTTGTTCAACGCTGCTTTTTCTTTCTTTTTTTTTCTTTTTTTTTATTTAACACAAACAAGTGGCAATTATCTTTTTATTTATAAAGATGAGGAAAAGGAAAAATTACACAAACACACAGCTAATGAGTGCTTTAGAGGATATGAGAAAAAATAAAATTTCAGCAGAAAAGGCATCAAAGAAATACAACATTCCAGTGAGAACCCTAAGATACAGACAAAAACATGTAATGAAAGGATATCCCAACAGGTGTCTTACCACAAAACAGGAAGAAAGCTTGGTCAATTATATAAAATACTGTGCAGAAAGGGCATTTCCATTAACAAGAAAAATGATAAAGGTGAAATAAAAGATACAAACCAGATTAAAAATCAAAACAAATTCAGAATACAATAAAAATCCTATTTACATCATTGATGAAAATATACTGATTTTAAAAACATGAAAATGATGATAAAATAACAAATAAAAATATAATACAGTATGAAATTAAAATGTTTCCATGTTATATTTGTTTACTCCTGATAAATTTATCCCATAAATAAATAGGCATTTGTACGTGAAATCATTGACAAGGAAGGCAACTCCCTGATTAATGTCAATACTGTAAGTGGACCATCAGACAAATGGTTTAGAGGGTTTTTGAAAAGACACCCTGACATAGCGTTGAGGACCCCCGATTCCATTGACCGTGGTCGCTACGGAATGGCAAATTCCACAGTGATGAGGGATCACTTTCAACTGTTAGAAAAATGTCTGACAGACTTGGGTAAGCAAAAATAAAACTTGAGAACATTAAAACAAATGCAATTGATCAAGCTCCTTGATACTGAATTAAAGAAAGAACACAGCAAATGATAATATCACTAATTTGTGAAAAACTTTTCAATCAATGAGTTGCACAATATCAATGTTTGAGTTAAAAAATTCTAAATAAATGTTTCAATACTAAAATAAAGCATGCATTGTTAACATTAACTCAAATAAAAAAAGAAACTTATCATTATTCAATGACCACTTAAAAACTGTTGGGAAAATGTCCCAAATATTTGTGTTAGTATTGAAACAACAACAACTAGTGAACAGTAATACAATTTCAACTATTTAAGCTCCTTGCCACTGAATAAAAAAAAAGAAGGACAACAAATATTTAATGTGACTTATTTGTGAAAAGGAAAATCTTAAACAAAAGGGAATCAAGTTGAAGGAATTTCATTTTCCTCTAACCAAAAAAAAAAACTAGATTAAAAAACTCTCGAGTTTCTTTCATTTTTAAGATTCATGTTAATAAAATAATACAAGATATATGTATATATTATGTTCTGACACTTTCTTAGGCATAAGAGACAAGCCCTCTCAAATTTTCAATGTTGACGAGACAGGCTTTGGAAAATGCGAAAAAAGAGAGAAGGTTGTCGCTGAAAAAGTCCGAAAACACACTTATGCCTGAAGCGTTTCATCAACAAGCCATATCACCGCAACCATCTGTGTAGCTGCAAATCGACAAGTCCTGCCAACTTTCTTAATTTATGAAAATAGTTTCCCGAGTGGAAGTTACAGAGATGGTAAAATGTTCAACAAAATAATACTAAATGCATTACTTTAACAATAGTACATGTAATCCAATACACAAGTACAATCAGGACTTAGCACTTGCACTATTTTTACAATCACCTATAGTACTTTTACCAATTGACACCTTGATTTTTATAAAATACATGAAACACATTTACACTCAAAAAAATATTTACAAATCAACCTGTCTATTATTCTTGAATGGTACATATAGAAAGAAATACATGTACAAGATATTTATACTAAAAATATTTTTTAAAAACTTGCATATTTACATACATTTATAACAAATTATACCAAATTCTCTATCTACTATACGTTTTCTTAAAATACAGAATTTTGTTTATAACATATTCATACTTTATCAGGTGCTCCTAGAGATTGGCTTTTTGGCACTTCGCCGAATGGGTACATGGACGGTGACCTTTTTTATAAATGGTTTGAGACTGTTTTTCTCCCCAACTGTTCTAAGCGTCCATCTCTCCTCATTCTTGACAACCACGAGAGCCACCTTACTCTAAAGATCATTCAACGAGCCAAGGCAGAAGGAGTCGAGTTATTTGGATTGCCTCCCCACACCACCCACGTAACACAGCCCTTGGATGTGGCTTTGTTTAAGCCCATGAAAACTAAATTTTCAGACACTGCCGTCAACCTTGTGTATGCCAGGAAAGACTTGGTGATTGGAAAGGCAAAGTAAGGACACAATTTTGGTGTCTACCTGAAAAAAATTTTAAAATCTGAATATAAGCTGATAATAGTTTCTTTCCTGAATTGGAATTTACAACCACTGAAAATTTTCTCCTTTATTCCTGATTAAAATTATTGTTTTCTCTTACATATTAAAATTATATAACCTCGTCTGATGGGTTTTATTATATACCTAATGTGTCCCAATACCCAATACCTCGTTGTAGGGCTGAAACGATTCACCGAAATATCGATATTGTTCGATATAAGTGCTCGGTTCAATTTTCAATTCACCATCTCGATTTTCGGTTCGATACGTTTTTTTATAATTGGGTTTGGTTAACTCTTTGAAATAGATCGGGTTCGATCTTATTTTAACAGTTTGACACACACGAGGGAGAAAATTGGGACGGTAAAGTTTCAGAGAAGGCTGCCTCTGCTATTATTTATACGAATAAAGTGTTCTTAATCAACAGAACCACAAGTATCAGAGATGTGCAATTAACAAATTAGTAAATTCGGGCTAGTAAAAATTATAACTACGTATGTAATACATAAAGTACAAACGGTATTTTACTCATTTTTTGCTATCAAATTCCCAACCAGTGAATATTTTCCAGGCAACATGCTCCTACTGTCAATAAATCTCCATAATTTTCTCCATTTTGCAGTACTTCCTGACTTATTTACTTCCAAAAACGATCTTTTTTTTTCCCTAATTCGAATTTCCTCCGTTTATTGTAAATACATGCAGATATCTCATTAAATTATTTACGATCACTCAATCAACTGAAAGATCAGTGTGATTCACATGAAATATATTTCTAGTGTATTTAAGGATTTAATATGAAAACAAAATGAATTTATTTTCATTCTAAATGAGCTAGTGCAAAATAATCAGAAAAGGAAAGATCTTCAGATATTTTTTTAAAATTCATTTTAATTTTCTGTCATAATCATTAATTTCATATGATTTAATTTTAATAGTAAGAATAAAATTTTAATTTTCAAAAGATGACCTTAGTACCCTGACTTTTTCAATGATTAATTTTTTTTCAACATTTGTTTTATTTTAATTTTTGTCCCTATATTTGGGCTAATAACTATTTACTTGGGGCTAGTAACTTTATAGCCCGTGGGCTAGTACTTGAGTTTTTAAATTGCATACCCCTGGTAGTATATTTCTATTGTATCACCACCTTTTACCCTTTGTTTTTTAAATCTGAATATGTTTTCTTTAACCTTATGAATAGTTTCGTACTTAAATTGTATCGTATTGAAAAAATTGAATTGTGACACAAGTATTGCAATACGTATCGTATCGTGGAGGGGGCGTATCGTTTCAGCCCTACCTCGTTGTAACAAAGAAATCATTTTTTAATTTAAAATATCACCTCATCATGGCTATTTTCCATTTATAAAAGACTTTAAAGAATTATCCTTGGTTGCATACACTTATCTCATAATGTTTAATACCAGTGTTCCCTTTCCATCTTCATTAGATTTGCACCGGTGTTATCTTCTGCAGTAGACCAGACATTTAGTCATCATATGAAGGAGGCTTTCAGATAGACTGGAATTTATCCTTTCGATCCCAAGGCCTTAAATCCGATGCAGCTGGCCCCTCCTGACAAACTTCAGGTTTCACACCATGATGTAGTCCATGGTAATTGATTTGGTGATGTTCTAAAAAATTAAACAAATAGATATACTTTGGCATCACATGAAGTTTTTATGAAAAAGACAAATACCAAATTGAGAATATTTTTGCAGCGATATTCCAATGGTTGAAAATATTTAATTCCTCTATCCGTCTAATCTAAGGGAGAGAGCAAAAAAAAGGCTTTGTCTGACTCCCAATCTAACTCACTTTATTTGTGAAAAAAAAATATATGAATTAAAAAGAAAATGACCGACAGCTTACTCATTTCTCTTTCCATTACATAAAGATGACCAAACCAGTTGTGCACCCCCTGCATTGTGCCATGCATGTGGCCATTTTGTCCAGCAGAACCCACTAGTTGAACAGGGCCTCATCCCCTATAACTTATCATAATTGTTCTTGCCCATTTTCATCAAACCACCTGAAAAAAAGAGAAGAATTGTAACCAAATCCAGAGTTCTTACAGGTACATTTTGGTATACTTAATAATAAAAAAAATGTTTAAATAAAAACAACTTATGCTTACAAAAGTAACTATTTATATTGATGAAAGAGTTACACATATAATGAAGCTCTATCACATGTTTATCTGTTGATATCTGTACACGATCTGAAAGTACAATTTAATTTCTAATAAATTGAAATTTAATGGCGACAGGAGAGGAAATATTGAGCCAACTCGAACAGAAAGAAGAGGAGGCAGAGAGAAAAAAGAAAAAGCAAAAGGAGAGGAAAGAGCGGGCAGAGATGAGGAGAAAGGAAGTGGAGGAAAAGAAAAACAAAAAAAGAAAAGCAACAACTAAGAAAGCCACCAAGAGAAAACAAAAAGTTAGTTGATTTTTCTTAACAAGACTTCTCATTGAATAATGATTTCCCTAAAAATTCATAATCATTTGACGCAATTTCTCATCGACGTCATAAAGGAGCGATGAGCAATCAATGGATTAAACATGTGCTTGTTAATTTGAAAAATAAATAAAAAACTTCACAAATTAAAAATTATAATCAGGCAAATATATATAAGAAAGTCACAAATGTAATAACAAGTTATAAGATATAATTTTTAAAATCTATCAGGATATAAACACAGTTTCATAAGCAATAAATTTCACCATGAAGCTCTTTGATCTCGTTATACTAACTGTATTCATTTCCCATGATAGATGTTTTAAAATGATACCTTATTTCTTAAATAGAAATTACTGATCTTCGAATGTATGTATTGTAAACTGTATCTAAGCAGAAAATATTGGTATGGTGTATCCATTCTCACCTTTATTATATATTGATAAATATTGACCCAGCCTTCATATCATGCCTAACTAGTCTTGAATTCGATATCCGGTCTGATGGGTTTAATTTCAATACAATAGAAAATTTTTTTTTTAAATATGCAATCAACTGAACTTACTCATTTTTATTCACTTCAGGACAGTGAGGACACCAATTCAAACGACGATATCCCCATTCCACCACCATTTGACTGTGAACAGGATATTCTGCCAGCATTGTCCAGGCCTAAGAGGCATTCAAAAAAACCAAAGGTCTTGAATTTTTTTTTTTTAATTAATTCTTAGTGTTTTTCAATCATGATTAAGTATACATATGATGTTGTTCTGATTCCCAATTCCAAACTCTTAAAAAATAACGTTAGCCTTTTTTTTAATCCAATGATATTATACTTTTAAAACAGAGATACTTGGATGAAGACTGTGAATTGGCCGCCATAATTGACGACGTCGAGGAAAACGACCTGGTTATTTGTACCTTTTGTACCAGCCGGGAGGCTCCATCCACAAGCACCTGTGACAGGGAAATAGATGGCTGGTTTCTATGTGAACATTGCAATCGGTGGTTTCACAATGTCTGCCAAGGGTTCGACAACAACGAAGCGTTTTCTTCCACAGCAGCCATATGCCAGGAGTGTCGCGTCTTCCTGGAGGAGTAACACGTGCTCCCCAAATGACACAGGAAACGCGTTTTGCGCATATATCATTGAAAATAAGAAAAATTTAAGCTATTTCAGGCTTATTAAATTTTTTATTTGACAAAACCAAATTCTTTGTCTTTTTTTAAAACTTATTTTATCCCTTTGAGACGATAAATAGTAATTAATTAATTAAAAATGGGAAAAGATCTAAGCGGCAATAATGGGTATTGCACTTCCTGTTTCCGAGGGTCATGACCTATGAGTTATTTTAAGACGATTTTGCTTAATTTTAAAGGTTTGTTTCAAATCTAAATATTGCGTCATCTAAGCAAATAAGTATTGCAGAGATTATTATAGATATATTATAGAAAGGGCATCCTGTTTTAAATACATCTGGAAAAAATGGTCGTTACTCGGCAATAATGGGTACTGGCACGTTAGACTGTGCATTGAAAGCTATCATTTCTATCACTTGCATTTTTAAAAATATTTGTTTGAATTAATAAACAACTTTGGAACGTAAAAAAAATTTAAGGGATCAATTCTTTGCTACAGATTCATTAATTTCACCTTGTTTTATTTCAATTTGTGAGTTTAAAAAAAAAAACACTGCAACCAAAAGTAAACGATTTTGAACATGTTGAAGTGTTTATACACGCTCTTTTTATTGCAGACTTTTTAATACTTCAATTTTGAAAAATAAAATATCTATGAATCATTTAAATGCACCCCCCGAAATATTTCATTTCTCTATATACATGTACCGGTACAACATTATATTAGCAAAAATCGTAATTTTGTGGCCTTTAACCCCACTCCTGCCTCTACCCCTTTTTTCCACGTAAAACAACGTCGCGTGTTGAGAGAAAAATAAAGCATGGCGAGAAAATTATTTCATAATGTAAGAATTATTTTTTTTCAAAAACTAATACAGTATTTCAATCGTTTGTTGATGTTATGAAAACCCTTTGCGACTTATCAAATACGTAGTTTGATAGAATAAATCCAAATTTTGTGTTTTGTCATGTCCCCTTTTCACTGCAATAAAGGCAACCTCCAATTTTTTTTTCATTTTTATAAGAAGAATGAAAAATGCATGGAATATGTGAAAAACAAAGATGTTCATTTTGTATTTTTTTAATTTTGTAAATTTCTTTGTTTATTGGAGAGTTTTAGTATGTAATTGTGTATTAAAACACGACAAATGGTCCATATCTTAGCAGTGCCCCTATTTCACTACAATAAAGGCAAGGTAACAAAATTTTATTTTAATTTTTCTTAGCATAATATCATACAAATATATTTCCAAGAATTAAAATTTTTTATCATTCCGTTTTCGTAATTTTCAACTAGATTGGGCCTCGTTACACAAAAGACTCTTTTCTATAGTGTTTCGTCACATTTCATACTTTAATCGCTTTTTTCATGTGTATGATATAATAAAATTCAATGCATAATTCTTATTTAACTTTGAGTACTTTTAACCATAATTTACGTAATAATTAATTTACCAATCACATTAAAGATGCATTGAAAACATCCAACCTTTAACATAAGGGAGCAATCATTCCATATTTCTTGCTTTATCGCAAACGTTTACTATTGGGCTCTAAACATGTTTAAAAATGTTTAAATGCCATTTTCAAACTTTAAGACATGCTGCCATTGTAACTATAGCTCATAGCAACCGGTTTTAACCGATTTTAGTTCAGGTTAGGGTATCAAAGACTTTTGTCATAGAGAGTTTAGAGAAATTCTAAGACAATGCGCGCCACAGCTCCTATATGAAATTTCAAGTCATTACAGAGAATGAATCTTAATTTCGACACTGGATTTCTTGCAATAAAACGTTTCAAAAATTTCAATCTAAGATAATGCTAAAAAGGACAGTGTAAAAATTGTCTTCGACAATATTATAAAAGAACATTTTACATGCATTTTTTACTATTTTCATTAGCGTGTATACCAGTTTCAAAATTTACCGTAGATTAACCCAAAAGGCTAATTTGGTAATTAATGGAAAAATCCTCTTTTCGAGATTTTGAAACACGCTGTGAAATTAAATAATTTACACATTCATAAGACTTTAAAAAAATACATTGGATTGTTTAAATTAAGAATTTTTATGATTAACTAATAAAATATGTTTAACAAATCCCAGTCTCCCCTCTCCCTATAGATCCACCCCTTATCTCAGTCTTCACTCCCCCTATAGATCCGCCCCTTTGTCTTACCTTGTCCCAGGCTTCCCTCTCCCTATAGATCCACCCCTTGTCTTACCTTGTCCAAGTCTTCCCTCTCCCTATAGATCCGCCCCTTGTCTTACCTTGTCCCAGTCTTCCCTCTCCCTATAGATCCGTCCCTTGTCTTACCTTGTCCCAGTCTTCCCTCTCTCTACCACTCCTTGTCTTACCTTGTCCCAGTCTTCCCCCTCCCTATAAATCCACCCCTTGTCTTACCTTGTCCCAGTCTTCCCTCTCCCTATAGATCCGTCCCTTGTCTTACCTTGTCCCAGTCTTCCCCCTCCCTATAAATCCACCCCTTGTCTTACCTTGTCCAAGTCTTCCCTCTCTGTATAGATCCGCCCCTTGTCTTACCTTGTCCCAGTCTTCCCTCTCCCTATAGATCCGTCCCTTGTCTTACCTTGTCCCAGTCTTCTCTCTGTCTATAGATCCACTCCTTGTCTTACCTTGTCCCAGTCTTCTCTCTCCCTATAGATCCACCCCTTGTCTTACCTTGTCCCAGTTTTCCCTCTCCCTATAGATCCACCCCTTGTATTTTTTGTCCCAGTCTCCACTCTCTGTATAGATCAACCCCTTGTCTTACCTTGTCCCAGTCTTCCTTCTCCCTATAGATCCACCCCTTGTCTTACCTTGTCCCAGCCTTCCTTCTCCCTATAGATCCACCCCTTGTCTTACCTTGTCCCAGTCTTCCCTCTCCCTATAGATCCACCCATTGTCCCAGTCTTCCCCCTTTCTATAGATCCACCCTTGTATTACCTTGTCCCCTTCTTCTCTCTAGCTGTAGATACACCCTTTGTCTTCTATGTATCTGTCTGGGGAAGTAGTCTTATTTTCATAACTGATTTCACAGAAATTGGCTCCCTTGTAATAACTAACAGATTTACAACGCGTGGTTCTTTAACATTCTTCTACACAGTCTATATTCGGTATACGAGTTAATCAACTTTCTGTCCAATCTGTAACCGAATACTAATTTTGAATAACTGTCTTGTAAATTTCCTGATGTAAGTGAGAATGTATTCAAAAGAAAAACAAAATTCTGTAAGATTTTCATGTTTTCATGCTATTTCGATATTGGACTACAAATCAACTCAATCTTTTATAGCTTCTGTCACAAACTCAACAAAAGATAATTATATAAATATTTAATTAATCATTGAGATAATAGTTGCAGTAGTCAATATCTCTCAATAGACACGGCATCTAACTCTCTTGTGAAAATTTCAATCAATATTGTTTATTTAAACAACTCTATTGTACTTTTTCTAGGAAATATCTTGCCGAAGCAGCATCCTTCAAGATTGGTCTACATGTAAAAGAAAAATAACCAATCAAACTAACGCTGAGGGAGCATTTTGTTTTTTTTTTTTTTTTTTTTTTTTTTTTTTTTTGAATAGTGAAATGACTTTATGGAGGGTAGGTTGGGGGATCAGTTGTAGGGGTGTTGAATAATAAAATAAAAAATAGTCTCTGAGCAGTTTAGAGACTCTACCATCAATTTTTTGGACAATGGCTTTTTTATTGTATTTATTTAATATGTTTTACGATGTGACCTTAGGGGATAGCGCAGTTATGCGCTATCAAAATTCTATACTGAGATTTTGTAGTGCTTCAGTTAGATAATAAAATCATGAAAAAAAATACAAAAACAGAAAGACGTCACTTCCCATTCATTGGGATCAAGATGTTGAACTGCTCAGACAATAATAGGACATATCCGAGCCGCTAAACTGACGTAATTATGACGTCAAATAAAAGTCCTGAAGAAGTATGATGTATACGATACTTTTTGCGGCGTGGCGATAGTATTAAATCGTTGTTTGGATTTTTTTTAAGTAATAAAATGCGTTCAAAGAGTGTAAAAATATAACATAACATCTATTTATCCATAAAATATCGTCGTTTACTATAAGCTGTCAAAATATACGTCTTTCACATCTATGAATCTATGTATGCATGGTGCGAGTGTTGATCACAAGCCCCTATAATATGATATATAATTTAGAATAAATTGTTATTGACTGTTTTTTCCCTGAAATAAAACTTTATATTCTATAAGTAAGAGGAATGCAAATCTCAAATTAAAAATTCAAAAATACTTTGAATATAGAGAAAAAGAGATCCTAGGTGATACGTGCGGAAGTTGGTCAAAAAAATATCACAAACTGCTTCCTTGGCAAAAAAAATCTTTAATAATCGAAAGCCTATGGAGAAAAGGCCAGACGACATTCATTCGATCTAGTTCACCATCGTTCAAGTTTCAATAACTAAATTATGATTTTACCTTTCTATTATTGCACAAATGTACAACATACTTTTAAATAGAACAATAAGTTGAATTGGGAGTAGCTTCGAATGAAAGCGACATTTTGTTGTAAAACGAAATAAATCTAAATCTGATTCATTTTATGGAAGAAGTTTATGAAAATCATTAAATTGTTCGTGAAATTGAGATGATGAAAGGTAATTTTTTGATTTGTCGAATCGATGATCATACAGTTAATCAAAATAAAGTTTCCACAAATTGACTTTTGAAATATTTCTTTGTAACATAAAAAAACAAAACAAACATTGTACCTTTCGTTCAAAATAACAACAAAACTTAAGCAATGTGTGGTTCAAAAACTTCAAATAAAGTCATTCGTCCGTGTCCCTATTTTTCAGAAACACTGGAATACGGTTTGAATTAACTTTTGACGCATGCTTAACGACAGAATTATATCACAGGACGCATGCTGATGGCTAAACATAAGTATCTATTCCATATTTGCTTGA